ATGGGGTGGTGACGTCCTGGGTGCCATTGAGACAGTGATGTCCAGGTGCTGATGGGGTGGTGGTGTCCTGGGTGCCATCAGAGTGGTGGTGCCCATGTGCCAACTGCCAGCAGCTCATGCCACCCCCAAGGACCTGGCATCCCCCAGCCCACCCCAGGAGCAGCTCTTCCCATTCTTCTGGCGCTGGCCTTGGGGACGCTGTCCCCCATCTCACCGGGCTCTGGGGACTTCTGTGGGTCTGTGCTGCTGCTTCCATGTACCCGTCCAGCTCCTTACCTGTGGCTTGGGGCACGTGTGGCCCTCGTGTGACTTATAGGTGGCCCCGGCTCAGGGAAGGGGACCCAGTGTGAGAAGATCGTGCAGAAATATGGCTACACCCACCAGAAATATGCCTACCCCCACCTCTCCACGGGGGACCTGCTACGGGCGGAGGTCAGCTCAGGCTCGGAGCGGGGCAAGAAGCTGCAGGCCATCATGGAGAAGGGCGAGCTGGTGCCCCTGGTGAGTCCACGCAGGCCATCAGCTGTGGCACACTGGGACATGCAGGCAGGGGTGGCTGTGGGGACAGCAGATATCATGGTGACTGTCGGCACATGGCCTGGGGACACCTCCATCCCTGCCACCCCAGGGGCGGTTTGCAGCAGGGATTGGGGGTGCTGGGTGCTGGGAGGGGGACACGTTGTCCCACGTCATCCCTGTCAGCTCTGTGCCCCCCTCCCCAGGACACAGTGCTGGAGATGCTGCGTGACGCCATGGTGGCCAAAGCAGACGTGTCCAAGGGCTTCCTCATCGATGGCTACCCCCGCGAGGTGAAGCAGGGAGAGGAGTTTGAGAAGAAGGTGAGGGTCTCCATGGTGCCAGCAGCAGCCCACCCTCCCCATCCCAGCAAAGATCCCATCCCAACAGGGTCTAAACTGGGCACTGTCCCAGCCAGCAGGTCCCCCTGCCTTGGGGACAGCCTGTGCCCCAGGTGCGCTGGGGGGGACATCTCTCCAGGATGTCCTCAGGCTCACAGAGGGTGACCACGGTGCTGGCGTGATGGTGATGGCAGAGAGCCAGGGCTTGGCCATGATGTCCCTCTGTTCCTCCGCATGGGTCTGGGGGCCACCGGGCCACTGTTCCCCAGACCCACACGGAGGAAGGCGTGGGGACACCTGTGTCCCCCCATGCTCACCACCACCATCTCCCTAAACCAAACCCAGACCCATGCTGGCTCGGCATGGTGACAACCACGTCCCCCCTGCCCACAGATCGCCCCCCCCACGCTGCTGCTCTACGTGGACGCAGGGAAGGAGACGATGGTGAAACGCCTGCTGAAGCGAGGCGAGACCAGCGGGCGGGTGGACGACAATGAGGAGACCATCAAGAAGCGTTTGGAGACCTACTACAAGGCCACCGAGCCCGTCATCGCCTTCTACAAGAGCAGAGGCATCGTCCGCCAGGTAAGCGGGGACGTGGCCGATGCCGGCACCTTCCAGGCCCACGGCTCGGGGCGCCTGTGGTCCCAGGAGAGGGGAAGTGATGGATGGGGATGATGAGGGAAGGGGGGAAAAACTCAATCCTAGCTCATTTGGGGTGGGCTTGACCCCTCGGAGCCAGCTGGACCCTCCAGTTCACGACGCAGAGACCACCTCCAAGGATGGCCCTGCATCCCTTTACCCTAAATTGGCTCCGATCTCTCCGCCCACGGCCAAAATCCATCCCTGGAAGAGCTCCGGTTGCCCCATCCCCTCAGGTGACCCCCCCAGCTAACCCCTCTGCACCCAGCTCAATGCCGAGGGCTCCGTGGAGGAGGTTTTCCAGCAGGTCTGCTCCCACCTCGACAGCCTGTAGC